AACCAATCGACACACTTTCTACAAGATGTAATGAAGGATGATTCTTTTTTTGTGTTTTTGTTTAATTAAAAAAAAAAACTAGCACATGGAGAAAATTTGTTTTACATCTGTCATTTTCTTGCTTTCTATTTTATAGATTTCATTCCTTCATTCTGTTGTGTAGGTTGCTCTATATGCCATCTGATTGACCCAAACCCCTAAAGCTGTTCCATTCGCACCAATGATGTAGCACTTACTTCAGTGTCTGTATTTTCACTAATATCCTATTACCTAGATACTCCTTTGGGCATTCAGGTATTGGTCGTATTTGTACAGAATCCTCCTATTAAAAACATTAAGCATAGTTATTTGTTTTGATTCATTTTAGCTTCCTATACTTTGACAGACATCATCTATTGCCATCCCTTCATTTCTTACTTTACAATCAGGCAAAAAATTAATGCAGAAAATGTAGGAAGTCATCATAATTATAGTCAAGCCAGGGAAGTTTGTTTAGAATGCAGCAGTCTGCACAGTCGCAGGGGCAATTATGATACAAAGACTTTGCATCATTGCTGCAGGAGCTGCAGTGGTACTGGTATGCAATTCAGCAATCAGCAATTCAAAGCATTCTATCAAGCCTTTAGGACTTGCCCCAAATAACTGATAGAATCATAGAATCCTACATCTGGAAGGGACCTTACAGGTCTTCTAGTCCAATCCCTTATAAGAAATTGTAAAGCAGGAGACCTTATACCATCCTGGACAAATGGTTGTCCAATCTTGAAAAACTCCAGCAAGGGAGCATCCACAACTCTGGGACGCAAGCTGTTCCATTTGTTAATTGTTCTCCTCAGTTCCAGGTTGGATTTCTCTTAACCCACACACTGCTTCTTGCCCTACCCTTGGGTGCTATGGAGAATACATCAATGCCTTTTTTTTTCTGTGACAGCTCCTCTGTCAGGCTTCCAAGTAATAAGTTCCCTGAATGAATAATCCAAAGCATTCATATTCCAAAGTCTATTTATTAGGACTGTATCAAATTGGCAAGGTCTTGGTGTAATTCTGGCTCTGACGAAACCCCGGAATTACACCCAGCAAGAAGCAAAAGTTTGAAACTTCCTCCCAGAGTCACATTCTCCAATCAGCTCACAGTCCAACTGCCCAGTGACTTCAAACTCCACCTTCAGCCATCTGCAGGCACATTCTCTGTTCCCATGGGAAAGAATGCTACCTAGCCATAACATTCCCCCTTATCTCTACAACCCCGCTTCCTACTGCTAGAATGTGGCAAACCTGAATCCTTGTTAGATCCCCTTACAGAATACCTAGAAAAAGAATAGGAAATGACTACAATAAAACATGGCTACACATATGATAACTTCATATGACATCCTCAAAACTAGAAACCTTCTTTCATATCACCCCTAGTCTTTCTCTTTGTTAGGCTATACATATCTATTTCCCTTAATGATTTAGTCCTCAGACTCTTTATCATCTTTGTTACTACTTTTTCTTCAAATGTTTTTGAATGACAATTGCCATAGTTAATTACACCATCTGGGCTGAGTGGAATTAATGTCTAACATATACCATCCTTTGTATTATAGTTCCTTTGAAAACCCAGATGGTTGAAGTATAGTTGTGCCAGAAAATATACGGCTTACCTCATCTATACCGGGATACAGAGCAAACAACTCAGTAGGCCGGTTGGTTTTCCGTGCCTCTTCATTTTGCCTTTGAATGTCTTCTGCTTTAGCAGTCTGCAATAGGTTGGTCAATCGGGGATCAAGCGGTAGGCTGCGCAGGCAAATTTCTCCAGATGTCAAGGTGGTTTTATTGGATCCATCACAGAGGACTTTTAAGCGCCTGGGACCTGTCTGCTCAAGCAAATAGGGAATAGTTGAACAAATTAAACATACTGAATATTGAGAGTAAAGGTTTGTTCTCTGAGCCTAAACTCCACTGAAGATGTTACCTAGCCTGGTAACCAAATGTTCAGAAACTCAACCCACAAACTCAGAGAATGAACCTTCACCTGAGCTATAGATATTCGACACCATTGCAATACTGAATATTTCTATCATGTTTCTGTGTCATATTTCCATATTTATCCATTGCAATAACAGATATTAGATTTCCAATGCCATGAAATAAATGTTAAATGGAACTTTTAACTCTCCTTTTAACACAGCCATTTATTTCACACAGAATAATGGAATAACAGAGTTGGAACAACCTTGGAGGTCTTCTAGCTCCTACTCAAGCAGGAAACCCTATACCAGTGATGGCGAACCTTTTTTGGGTCGCGTGCCATAAGGGGGGAGTGCAGGGGGGTCATGTGTGGGCATACCATACCCACAATGAAATGTGGGACACACCCCCCAGTACACATGTGTGCATGAGAGGCGCTCCCCCCATTTTTTAAATGCTTTTTTAGCCCTCCCCAGGCTCCAGAGGGAGGTGAAACAACCTCCCCCGCCTCCCTGGAGGTCCTCCGGAGACTTCAAGGACCTTCAGGAGGCTTCCGGAGGGCTTAAACTGGCCCTACTAGAAAACTGGAAGTAGGGTCGTTTTTAGTCATATGGATGGTTCAGGGAAGTCTCCTGAAGGTCCCTGAAGCCTCTGGAGGGCTTAAACCGACCCTACGAGCAAACCAGAAGTCCGTTCCCAAACTTCTGGATTGCCCATAGGGCTGTTTTTTTGCACTCCGGAGGCTTCAGGGAAGCTCCTGAAGCCTCCGGAGGGCCTCTAGGGGAGCAGGGGAGGCTCTTTTTGCCCTTCCCAGGCTCCTATAAAGCCTCTGGAGCCTGGGGAGAGTGAAAAATGGCTTTAAAAAAGGCTGAATTCAGTTGGCCAGCATGCACAAGTGCGCTGGTCAGCTGGCAGGGCAACGCCTCGCATACCCTGACAAGTGGCTCCATGTGCCACCTGTGGCACAGGTGCCATAAATTCGCCATCATGGTCCTATACCGTTTCAGACAAATGGCTGTCCAATCTCTTCTTTAAAAACTAGTTTTGGAATTCCCACAACTTCTGGAGGGAAGTCATTCCACTGATTAATCATTCTAATTGTGAGGAAATATCTTCTTAATTCTAGGTTGGAATTCTATTGCCATCATGTTACCCTTATTCCTTCTCTTCATTAGACTAGACATACCCACTTCCTGCAAAAGTTCAATATTTTTTTTTTGCCTCTAGTCCCCCAATCATTTTTGTTGCTTTTCTCTGCACACTTTCTAGAGTTTCAAGATTTTTCAATATGAAAAAACAGTAGGACAAGAAACATATCAGATACTTTTGGAGAAGATTAAGAATTCTTGAATTGCTACAGAGCAAGAGTGCAGAATTTGGCAACTTTAAGACTTGTAGACTTCAACTTCTGGAATTCCATGGTTTCGAGTTGAAATTAACAAGTCTTAAAAGTTGACAAGATTGGAACCCACTGTTATACAGCTTAACATTTAAATAGGACTTTCTTCTCTTATTCCACAATATTTAAAAAGAATGCTTCATTACTTTTCATGTTCCCTCATCAACCTGGTGCTATTCCTTCTAATTTGGGAAGGAAGTTCAGATGTGCCATTTGAGTGGTCCTATAGCATCACACAAATGCTCCCGAGGAATTCTTAGAAAAAGAGGTTCCTCCCAATGGCCGCTTTGCTCCACCACTGCCTACTGCTCCATTTTCTTTTCAAAGCATTCTTTCAAGTCTATTCCCTAAGTGTACCTGATAACTGGAATCATGAAAATCCAACATTTCAGACTCAAATGTTTGCTTTTGAAGGCTTTTGTGGAAATCTGTCCTGGATCCTGTTTTCATAAAGTTATACGCCTCATTGCTTCCTTGATTTCTTTAGTAAAATAGCCAATTAGATTTCAGTTTTAGAAAATGAGACAAAATGAAAGATCAATTGTTATCATGTAAATAAATTATATAAAAAATATACAATACCCCAAATTGATTTAAGAACTGCTTAAATGGAATACAAAGTTATAATAAATTGCTATATAGAAGATCTTTGGTGGTGCAGTGGTTGGAATGCAGTACTGCAGGCTACTTCTACTTCTGCTGACTGCCAGCTGCCTGCAGTTTGGCAGTTTGAATCTCATCAGGCTCAAGGTTGACTCAGCCTTCCATCCTTAACCCAGATTATTGGGGGCAATATGCTGATTCTCTAAACCGCTTAGAAAGGACTGTAAAGCACTGTGAAGCGGTATATAAATCTAAATGCTGTTGATATGGGTTACCACTACAGAATAATATGGAGAGCAATTCTTATGCATATTCTTTTTCAAGAGAATACTAATACCCACCAACACTCACTCAACCCTTGTGTCCCAGATGTTGCTAGAAACATGCTCATGGTACTTCGGGTCTAACCTAGTTTCACTATTCTGCTCTTCTCCAATATATCAGTGATACTTCTTCAAGCCAAAAGGGAGGTGCCAATGAGCCTTTTGCTTTGTAGGCCAAAATAGAGTGGCCATTGATATGGCTGCACTTGAGATTTTCCTGTCACTTTTTAATGAAGCAGAGTACCGTATTTTTCAGAGTGTAAGACGCACCAGAGTATAAGACGCACCAAGGTTTTGAGGCAAATAAATAAAAAAGTAGGTAGGTAGGTAGATAGAGGGATAGCGAGGGAAAGAAAGAGAGAGAAATACAGTAGGTAGGTAGGGAGAGAGAGAGAGTAGATAGGTGGGTAGGTAGTTAGATAAAGGGATAGAGAGAGAGAAATAGAGAGAGAGAGAAATAGAGAAATACAGTTGGTAGGGAGGGAGGGAGAGAGGGTATAGGTAAGTAGGTAGAGGGATAGAGAGAGAAACAGAAAGAGATAGAGAAATACAGTAGATAGGTAGGGAAAGAGAGAGAGAGTAGGTAGGTAGGAAGATGTTTCCAGATGTATTTATCCATGTGCTGGACAAAGAAATCACTAACACTCTGCAGCACCTAAGACTTGTTTCTGCTGGCACAGCACTTGATCAATCTAATTCTCATCAATCACTCTAACTAAAAAGCTTTCTGAAAGGGAAAAAAAAGTTTTTGCACTCTGCAAACATCCCAAAAATGGCCCGTTTTTCGTAAAAATGGGCCCATATTTTGTCAAAAAAATTGCACACATAGCCTTATGGGGGTTGAGTGTTGCTGGGGGTTGGGGGCAAAAAACGTCCATTTTTGCTCATTTCTGCCCTCCCCAGCCCCCAGGAGCACTCTGAAAGCCTCCATAAGGGTATGCACGGCCATTTTGGTGAAGGGGGCAGGGCTTCGGGAGGCAAAAAAATGCTGTATTCGGTGTATAAGACACACCCAGATTTTCAGACTCTTTTGAGGAAAAAAGGTGCATCTTATACTCCAAAAAATATGGTACTTCCAGATGGAGGTTTGCTAAAGAACCAAGTAAGCATAACTCTAATCTGGGAAATGCTGCTGCATTTAGACAAATGTAAGAGTACAACCATTATTGTTTCCTTCTCCTCTCAACAATAAACAATTATTTTTGGTTGGATCCTAATATTGTATGATTGATGCCCCAATCCAACTGTAGCAAACCATTATTAGTGCCAGTAACATTTTCTGAACTCAATCCATTTAGTAAACCTAATGAGAGTAATTACCACTTACTTCTTGGGTAATTAGATAATTAATCAAAACAGTAGATTTCAACTTTCCCCTGGGTAATTATTGAGTTATGAAGGACTTACTTTCGATTCACAATCAGCCAGTCACGAATATAAGTCTGAACACAGTCCCGGACATGTAAATCCAATTCAGTCCTAGGGAGATGCAAAAATATTTCTATGCATAATTAGTTATCGTACATAAAGATGGTCAATATAATACCAGCAACATGGCTATTCTTCTCACGTAATAAAAAAATATTTTTGAAGTGATTTTTGTTGTCTCCAAATCTAGTTTTCAAGTTAAATTTTTGAACATCTTATTCAACATGCTATTAATAAGAAAATATCATCTATAAAAAAATAACTTAAAAATTAAAGTATACTGATAGCATTATGAAGTATAATGACTATATTTTAAAGTACAAACCACACAATGTAAATAAACAAATATCAAAGAAAGGGACTGGGGAAGCACTGGTCTGCTAAAATACAGTCCAGAAAAAAAGGGACACAGATAACATAATCCCTTTGTTTATCTTATCTGACAAAAAAGATGCAATTCATTGATGCAGCACATGCTTTTCATGAAAATGGTCACTCCTCGGATCTCCAGATCTATTAATAGAAAATACTTAGAGAGAGAAAAAATGAAAATTTTGATGAAAATTATTTTGATGAAAATTAAAATGTTCTAATGTTTGGGGTTGTTGGCGTTCTCTCTGATAGGCTACACCGGAATTAAATAGGTTTGCTACAATCCAAAAATTTCAAAGAAGAATTTTAATTGCAGAAAAGCTGAAGGTGGGGTGAAAGAAATTCCAGTTGAATATAATAGTGAACTCAATGTTCAGTCTTTTTACAATTTTTGTCCTGGCCATACTATACCATGTGCTAGCCAATACCCTTTTTAAACATAAGGCTCAATTTCCATCTTTCTCTTGTTCTGGAAACTTTAGGTTTATTACATTTTTCCATCTATGTGAAGACTGTGTCCCTGACCACTGAGTGGCAGTTGTGCAGCAGTAGACCTTGGATTGTACTCATAGGTGATCAACCCTCAATCACCACAGTCTGGGGTCCAATTATATGTGTAAACTATAACCCTGGGTCAGAAGGGAAGCAATTTTCTTTGGAACATAAAGAGAAAGAACTTTTCCCATTCAATATAGTCTCAATATAATCTGTCCTTCTTTTTCCATAGTTTGTTTGTATCCTTATAAGGTAAGCTCTTATAGGTATTGGAAGAGAGAATAGTTCATGTGGCGAAGCCAGAAAAAAAATATTGCTAATGTATTGCCCTTAGCTTGCCACTAGATACAGTTAAGAAAAACAAAGTGAAATCAGAGGAGCTTGTGACAATAGGAATGACGCAAAACCCTAAGGTAAGTAAAAAGTTAAGGTCAAAATGGTTTGTACTGGCTCCATATTTTAAACTCTGAAAATCTGAAACTGTATCAACCTTTGTACTTATTTTATTTACCATCATTCTATCATCATACATTTTACAAGGAGTTTGCCCTGGGTGAATAAATGTTTAGTCAATACATTTATGAATACAATGTTTGAAAACAAATTTATTTTTCCATAAATTCTTTTAAGTATTATAGTGATATCCCAGAATATGTAGATCATATTCAGACAAAATTTATGCTGTGATCTGCAGCTCCTACACTTCAAAAACATGCGGACTACAAAACTCGATCAGGGCAAAGCAATAGATGCAATTTACATAAGACTTCCATAAAGCTTTTGATTCAGTGATACATGACAAACTACTTCTAAAACTAAACTCTTATGGCATCTCTGGAGCCCTGCATAATTGGATAGCTGCGTTCATGTCAACTAGACAACAAGTGGTCAAAATAGGGAGCACCCTATCAAATTCTGCACCTGTTAACAGTGGTGTCCCCCAAGGCAACATTTTGGGACCAACACTCTTTATACTTTACATAAATGACCTTTGCAATCATATTATAAGCAACTATGTTCTCTTCGCTGATGATGTAAAACTATTTATCATCACTGACAATGCTGCTGCCCTTCAAAAAGACCTTGGCTATGTGTCAGAATGGTCAAACAATTGGCAACTTCAAATCGCAACCAACAAATGCTGTGTCTTACACAATGGCAAAAAAAATCAGGACACAAAATACAAGCTGGGTAGACACGACCCTGTAGATGACCCTCTCTATCAAGGACCTTGGAGTACTCATATCTAATGATCTAAGTGCCAGAGTCCACTGTAATAACATTGCCAAAAAGGCATTAAGAGTTGTTAACCTAATCTTGCGTAGTTTCTTCTCTAAATATTGTACTGCTAACCAGACTATACAAAACATTTGCTAGACCAATTCTCGAATACATCTCATCTGTCTGAAACCCGCTCTGCAGATCGGACATTAATACAATTGAGCAATGAGCAAGTCCAGAGATATTTCACAAGAAGAGTCCTCCACTTTTTTGCTCGCAATAGAATACCTTATGCCACCAGATTTGAAATTTTGATCTTAGACAATCTAGAACACTACCTTTGATGTAACCTAAGCGTAGTACATAAAATTATCTACTACAATGTCCTACCTGTCAATGATTACTTCAGTTTCAACCACAACAATACATGAGCACACAAAAGATACAAACTTAAGGTAAACCACTCCAAACTTGATTGCAGAAAATATGACTTCAGCAACAGTGGTCAATGCCTGGAATGCACTACCTGACTTTGTGGTTTCTTCCCCAAACCTCCAAAACTATAACCTTTAGCCTACTGTCAACTTACCCCATTCCTAAGAGGTCTGTAAGGGGGGTGCATAAGCGCACCAACATGCCTACCGTCCCTGTCCTAATGTTTCTTTATATTCGTATCCATTTCATGTATTCAAATTCATGTTTATACTTATACATGTTATTTAATACATGCTTGATGAAATAAATAAATAAATAAATAAATAAATACATACATACATACATACATACATACATAAATAAGATATTTGTCAAAACACTGGATAACCAGAATACATTGATGAGAAATACTTCTGGTTCAAAAAACCCCCCAAAATGGGAACATTAAAAACAGGTTTCAACTGCTTGCTTTAAAGGTTTCCTCACTTTTCTTCTGGTAATGATGGTTCCAAGGTTCTATGCTCCTTTGCAGCATAAACTACCTCCAAATCATCTTCAGGAAAATCACCCAATTCTTGCAAGAGATCTGAATCTAGGCTATTCAGCTGCATCATTAAGAGACCTTCGAAATCCACTGGTTCTACAGCATCATAAAACTGAGGCTAAAGAAAGAAAAGAAAGAATTTTTTTTTATTTAGAAATATACAACACATTTCTGGGTTTCCATTAAATATTAACCTCAAATGCACTAACACCCTAAAAAGTTCATTTTATGGATCAAGAGTAAAGGGCATAAATCACATACAAATTCTTACACGTAACCCTAACATTTAAGCCGACAGTTTTTTTTAAAAAATCAGGCTACTTGAACCTTAACTTATTGAAAAATGACGAGAATTTGTTAGACAAATAATACATTTTCTCCTTTCTTCTACCTTTTTTCTTTCTTTAGTAATGTTAGGCAAAATTATATAAGCAGTTTCATAATTAAAAACAAATTGTATCTAGTTTCATTAGGGAAGTGCCATGTGCTGCATAACTAAGCCAAATGGCAAGATGCGAATTACCTTATTGAGAATGTGGTCACAAAGGAAGATATTGTCACAAGCTACCAAATTTGAGAGCCGTACAAATGTTCTTGCCACAAGGAAGACTACACTGAGTAAACTATGATTATTCTTCTCCTGTTTTATTTTATTTATGTGTTTTTTAACTCATCTCATTTTTATATTGCCCATTTCACATAAGTGACTCTGGATGGCTTACAATGGTACTCTTTAGAAGATTTTGCAGTTGAAAATATCATCTAGAGAAGCTCTGCATACAAATGAGAACTTAGAAAAATCAGGATCTTCAATCAGTAAAGAATCTCCACCTGCCTGATTATGATTCATATGTAAAGCCCTTGAACTCTATTCAGCCATTCTAGCCGTTAAAACAAGGAAGTTGGGTACATTTAGAATTAGCATACATAATTTTTGAGTTATAAATAACCTTTTTTTCTGTCATAATTTTGACTGACAGTGTCTGGAGACTGAGATTGTCTTCTAAACCACATTTATCCCATTGTAATTTTTAATGTGCATTTAGCAGATTATACTAAAAATTATAAAAAATAATATATATTTAAATATACATATTGTTAGCTAGCTACAGACAACAGCAAATTTCTTTGTTAAATAAATAATACTTCCCCAAAAGTCGGATACATAGCACATGCCCAGACCAACCAGGAATTATTGAGAGGTGACAAATATGTAGGGGAAAGAATTGTTATGGAAAGATAAAAACCATTAGTAAAAAGAAGCAATTAAGATTTTGGCAGTGAGGTTTATCTATAAAAAGCAGCCTACAGAGAAACAATTAACATACCTTTTTAGTGCAGTAAAATTAGCAGTATGATGCAATCAAAATGGTGGCTAGATGAAACAAAAAGCAACTTGGCAGAAAGCCTTTTGAGAACAAAATACACACTTTTTATCATCCAATGAATCTCCAAGAAAGTTAAACCGACAGCTGCTCAAGTTGAGGAAGTGAATTAGATGTCTTCAAGAGACAGGAAATATATATTTACTATGTTTCAGTTTTCAGAACTGTGGGTTCCTAATAACCTGCTTATTCTTATTAAAATACAGTTAAAAGGTTTGAAGATAAATATATAAAATAAAGTTCTGCAAAATTCCATTCACTTTAGCAGATATTAAAATCAAGAAGGAAATGTTGTCTCTTAATAGTAACATTTGTAATCGGTGATGTCTACAGAAAGATTGTACAAATGACAAAAATTGGCTTTTTCTCATCCTTTTATAGAGCATTATAATATCTACAAAATAGGCTTCAAAAGGAAGAGAGTTTGCAGTTTGATGGTGCAATAAGGCTTTTGTCATTTTAATAAAAGCAGCAGAACTTGAAAACTCATCTATAATGTTCTCTTAAGATACATGTATTTCACAATATTCATGTGTTAAATGTCCACACAGACATTGTACAATATTAATTGTGAAAGATGGTGCTCTGTTTCAAACAGATTTGAATCAGTTAAGAAATAAGTTGTATGGGGCTGTTTTTTAACAGCACATTTCCGGAGAATCCCATAACATAAACATTCATCAGAACATCATAATGAAATCAGATGGATTCACAGGTGGCTGAACACCAGAGCCAGCACATGATCCTTGGTCCATCTATGTCCACATGGAGAAGCGTATGCAGTGCTATCAGGGTTCTTTCCTGGGCCCAATACTGTTCAACATCCTATTAAATGACTTGGTTCTTGTCTTACCTTCAAGGATAATAAATATACTCTTCAGTATGCCATTCTATCATGTATCAGAAGATTGATAAGAGAACAAAAGGCATGCATATAATATTTGTGTATGACACAAAGCAGGGGAAGGTTGCTAATACTCCTAACACTGGCTTAGTAACAGTACTTGTGAGAGAGGTTTGGGGGTCTTGGTAGACTACAGATTAAAGCTAAGCCAACAATGTGCAGAAGCTGCCAAAAAGTGAAAGCAATTTGGGGTTACATCAACAAGATCACAGGAAGTTATAATACTGCTCCATGTTTCATTGGTAGGACCAAATATGGAATACTGTGTCCAGTTCTCATCATGACACAAAAGATGCTGGGGAACTGGAAATAATGAAGGGAAGAATGACAATAGCTTGGAAGCTAAAATCTACAATGAGTGGTTAAAGGTACCTGGTATTTTTAGCTAAAATAAGCAAAGAATAAGGGAACATATGACAGCAATCTTCTGATACATGATAGAATGGCATACTGAAGAGTATATTTATTATCCTTGAAGGTAAGACAAGAACCAATCAGTGGAAGCTTTACATTGAGATACAAACTAGAATTAACAAGGAATTTCTTGATTGTGAGGATTATTAAGCAATGGAACAGACTGCCTTCTGATTTTGTGGTTCTCTATCATTGAGAAAGCATTGTCCCCAGACAACTTCATAGTTATTATAGTTTTATATTAAAAAGACTAATCTGTTGTCTTTCAATTCAGATTAGATAATATCACTTTTAAATAATCATTTTTTCAATTTAGGCAGATTCCCACTTACTTACATGTACATACATTTATTGGAGCCAATGTCTGTCAGGGCACCTAATAACCATAAACTCTGTCAGGGTTCCAGCCAATCCCCTAATAAAATCAAGAGCCTCAAGCTATTTTACAAAAAAAAATCCAGTTGTTTATTAGGAACGCCATGTCAGCATGACCTAAGTGAAGCCAGCTCTGACTTCACCCAGTTCGTGTTTTGCCTCCGACCCTGTTGCCCTCTCCCCCCAAGGAGTGTCACCAGTCACTTTCCCCAAGGAAGCAATTTCACAAGTCATAGAAGTCACTTCCACCAGCCATTGCGGGTCTCCATGGAGATGGCCTTGACTTCGGCCAGCTGGGATGTGTTTTGTTTTCACTGAGTGTGAATTCCTTGGTGCAGCTGCGAGGCGTGATTTCCCATCCCCCTGTCTATGACAACTCAGGAGCAGGTCAGGAAAGCTTCGCGAGTTGACACTCTAAGGATCATTTTAAAATAATAATAAGCGGGAAATTCGCAGTTGAATCATGAGAGACATAATCCTTTTCAAACACTATTCTAACTTTCCTTTCCTCCTATTCTTCCTATCTGATAGATATAGTGTTCTTGCTCATGTTAACTGGGATAAATGAAGCACAAACACTAATAAGGGTCAGTTTAGTTTACTGACTACGGCACTAGAAACCAGGAGACTCTGAGTTCTAGTTCTGTCTTAACCATGAAAGCCAGCTGAGTGACTTTGGGTCAGTCATTCACTTTCAGCTCAATTTACCACACAGAGTTATTGTTCTGGAGAAAGGAGGAGGAAGGAGTATTAGATACATTTGTCACTTTGAGTTATTTATGAAAAAATAAAGGTGGAATTTTAAAAAAATCTTTAAAAAATAAGTTTTTACGCTCACCAGATTAATGGAAGAAAAACCAGGCGTACTATTACTTCGCTGACAGAAGGGTCCAAAGGATAGTTGCTGCACAAACTGCCGTCTTATTTCTGCTGAGGAATGCCTTCAATATAAAACAACAGAATTTGTTATACCTGTCACATTTAACTGAGCATATTTTCTTAATATTGGAACACATTCCATGTAATCAAACTGTTGCCTGTTATTCCGGTTAGCATTTTTACCGACAATATAAAAATGACATATGCAGATGTCTCTTCATTTGAGAGTGTTTTTCTGTCAAATCCAGGGAGTAGGATCTTTCCACAGTTCCACACCAACTCCGGTGCCTAGTTTTATGGGCCATACAACCTCAACCATATTAGGAAGCGCAGACTTCAACTCCCAAAATTTCCTAATCAGCACTGGCTAGAGAATTCTGGGAGTTCAAGTTCATATCTCTTAATGTTGTGGAGGTTGAAAATCACTGTTCTAAACATTAAAAAAAGCCTTAATTTAATGAGCTTGCTAATTAAAGAGGACTGCTCCTGGTTTCTATTTTTATCTTTTATTTAGCCAGATACTGAAGATATTTGCAAAAATTTAAAACAATGTCACTCTTCTCATTAATTTTTTTATTTATTAAAAGTACATGTTTTTCTTGAAAAATATTTTAGTTATGTCAATATGTAATGTATTTAATATTATTTTTACATGATGCAATAAATAAATATTCTATGAGTGTGTCACTTTTATTTTTTAATGACTGTCAATAGATATCACCCAAACACTATTTTGGGGTCCTCCATAATTTTTATAGGCAAGGGTCCTGAAAGAAAAATGTTTAATAAACACTGTTCTGGATAAATACAGGGCTGTGGTATGGGTTATTATCCACAATTGAGTGTACTATTTCTATTGCTAAGCAAGGCGGTTGTTAAATGAGTCGCACCCCAGTTTACAATCTCTTTTTGCCACAGTTGTTAAGGCCATCACACGGTCACTAAGTGAATCTGGCTTCTCGCATTAACTTTGCTTGTTGGAAGCCAGCTGGGAAGGTTAGAGATGATGATCACATGACCCTGAGACAGACCAACTGTCATAAATACACGCCAGTTGCCAAGCACCTGAATGTTGATCACGTAACCATGGAGATGCTGCATAAGGGTGGAAAACAGCTGTAAGTCACTTTTCCAGTGCTGTTGTAACTTCAAACAGTGACTAAACGAATGGTTGTAAATCAAGGACTACCTGTACGGCAGGCAGCACAGAAGACGACGTCTTTGACAAACAGAAGGAAGATTTGTTACCAAGGCAACAACCAGAGAAATGTGGCATGAGCCATTACCAAAACAGAGATTTGTGAAAACGCCTCAAAGAAGCTTCCAATTCCCGTGAAGATAAAGCAGGGGAGAAAGGAAGCACGTTCTGATTTTCAAGATTCAGTCCCAATAGCCCTTCTAACAAAAGTAGTTTCAGGCCCATAGAGCATCTGTTTCTTAGTCTTGCATCTTACCACAATAAACTGAGATCTCAAATACAGAACATAGCATAACCTGTCAACCGTACTTTGTTGCAGTTTTTCTCTCTGCTGCAGCTGTTTCCCTCCCCTCCCTTTTTTCTGGCCAGTAAATCATGTTTGTGATTAACAACATAGCCCCAGAAACTACTCTTGAAATGGTGACAGATTGGCCATAAATTAATCCTGTTATGGACCAGGAAGAGGAGGTGCAGCAGCAGCAGCAGCAGCTCAGGGCTTCTAGCAGTGGTGGGATTCAAATAATTAAAAAACCAGTTCTCTGCCCTAATGATTTCTTCCAACAACCAGTTCAAGAAACTGCTCAAAAAGGTAACAACCGGTTCTCCCGAAGTGGTGCAAACTGGCTGAATCCCACCCCTGGCTTCTAAGAATAATAGTACTGAAGGGGCAGATTCCAGCAATGTTGAAGTTAATGATTCCCCTTTGGTTGAGAGAAAAAAAACCAGGACTTCCTACCTGCATCCACAAACAGCTTTCAGACTCTATGATTTTCACCCCATCCAGTCCCAAACAGAGGCCTGCATTAAAGATACAGCTACAGAGAGCAGATCAGATGGGTCAGCCAAGAAACAGGCTGGCAAGAGAAGAAAGTCCAGCAATAATGTACTTTAGCCATGCATTTAGGTGGTGGCTCAGTGCAGCTTCTTTATTAACTTCCCTTTCTGAGAGAAAACGCTAAGAATAACTTTTCAAGTCTCAGCTCTGGTGCCATGCTTTGACCTCTGGATTCCACCTCGCTGCATCTCTCCGCTTTTCCCTTTGTCATTTGTTTGTTTGCTTCAAAAAAACGTTCTGAGTTTGCAGAACTCTGGACTGTGGCAGGCAACCAGCCAGCTAGATATCTTGTTGGCTGGCAGCCAGAAAGGCTGGCACCATAAAGGCCTTGCCAAAATATTTATATGACAATGATCCATAGGAAAGTGTGAGACCAAATTCAAAATGCTAAGAAAATGCCTAGAAACAGGAGTTAAATGTTCAAGTTAAAAGACACAACACAGAAAAAAATAGGCTTGTCAAGATGAGCCAGCTATGGTACAAAGTCAAATTTAGCTTAAGTATCTTGGTAGCTTACATTTTTGCTCTGCAGAAGATGAGCACCCTCTAGTGGCTGTAACAGAACAGAAAGCTGGTTAAGTAAACTGGCCAAAGGAGGATCAAGCAAGAATGAAAGATGAGAATGAAAATGAACTCTGGTTTATTTTTCTAGTTCATCTATCACAATAATGAGCTGTGTGACATACAGAATTACTCCAAACAAAAGTCTGATAGCAATGGGATCTGATTAGTCACAGCAAATATATACATCTTTCTCTTTAAAATCTTATATCATTCTCTCTCCAAAATGTTCATTTTGTTGCATAAGGGAGCTCTGACTAAGCAAATACTTTGTCTTTCTCTCTCTTGCACAGTGTTTCTGTTTAGTGGATAAGTATTCCAAGTTTTCCCTAGATAGAAAATAAGATTCCACCCAGAGTCATCTTATTAGAGAGATAGGGGATATATAAATTTAATAAATAAATAAAATGCACAGCTTGGTGAGAAATAAGATTTTATTAACTTCATATATAGCCAGAGTCAGCTCTCGAGACACTGCAAATATTTTCCACTGTTTTAAGATTTTGCTCAAAAGTGGAAATTAGCAATAGGAAGTAAACATGTCACAATCTGCCAGGGTTGCTACAAGTCAACTCACTCAAACACAAACTTCTGGAAGCCACTAAACAGGAAGGCCTGCGGATGACCACAAATGCTCAACTTACTCTAGTTGAACATTCTTCACTCAGAATTTATAAATCCAGGTCATATTTTACAGGCCCCCAAAAGCAACTGACAGTTGATACTATCATACGCTAACAGGACGGCCATGAATTTATCAGCAGACTCCCTGAGCACGATGTAAAACAAAAGCCAACTGCTATGTGGGTAAAAGAAAAGGGTGACCTTGTTAGACTTCAAAACAAACAAGAATTCACAACAAAGTAACTTGTTGCTTTAAATGAGCTTTATAGTGTAAAACTATATAAAACTATAGGAAGAAATAGAACACATATATGGGCAAGATAGAAGAATTTGGTCTTTTATCAACAGCAAGTCAAAAAAGGCAGTTTCAAATACAACCTACTTAAATCTTTTTGGGCTCTTAATGTGTGGGTTTCTTTTTTATTGTTAACATGTAGTTCTGCACCCTATTTCTCTTAAAATGTGTACCCTAAAACAATCCTTTAGATAGATTACTAAAATGGTCAGGATGCAAAATAAAACCCAAAGTATACAAAATAAAATAAACACATTAATATCTGGAGATGATAAAATCCCAGTAAGCATTAACCTAGGAACGTGAGGTCAGAGTGTGCTTCTCTTTTGATACGCCTATGAAAAAAAAAAAAACAGACAGCTGAGAAGCAACTGTTAGCAGGAAGATTAAAAAAACTTCCTTCAGCTGTTCCTTCAATGACCAGAAGAATGGAGGATTAAAGGCCATTTTAAATCCACTTGGCTAACAAGAGCTAAACCTCAGCCTTTAGCTCTCTCTTTGTAGAGCCTTTGTCTATTTCAGTTTAAAGATGCCAGGACTCACTCTATAACTGGGAAACTGGTACTTCCAAAGCAGGGGTGGGCTTCAAAATTTTTAGCAAGGGGTTCTTTCTGCCTGGTTGCTGGGTGGGTGTGGCCATGGTGGGCATGGCATAGTCAGCCTCCTGCACCATGGCAGGGTGGGGGCATTTTTGCCATCCCCGGGCTCCAGAGGCTTTTTTTGAGCCTCCGGGAGGGTGAAAATGGTCTCCCCTGGCTCTGGAAGCCCTCTGAAGTCCAGCCTTCCCGAACCTCTGGTAGACCTGTTTTTCGCCCTCCCTGAGCCTCCACGCGTGCTCTGCACTTACCTGCATCCAAAACGGGCCGCATGGGGACTCCTGGGGGGAGGGCAAAAGGGGACAAGACCAGCCAGGAGTGGGATTTGGGGGTTCTCCAAACTGCACAGAATCTTTTTCTGAACCTCTGCAAACCCCCAGCAGCCCACTCCTGTTCCAACCCAATCTAAATTTGTTATCAAATGACCCATATTTGGAGATTTTTTTTAAAAATGGGTATGAGCCATCATCCTACCTCTTCTTTGTTCTAAAAATGGGCAATTCACCAGGCCTTTACCTTGGCCAGGTTGATGCCTTACCCTTCAGAGTCCCCTGGGAGCATTAAAAAAACACCTGTCTACATTAATGCCAATGTTGGGGTGGTTGTATAAAGTCCCTGAGCCACATCTGTTGCTCTCTTACAGGGAATCTAAAATGACATTCATTAATCCTATTCTAAGAAATACCCTGGCACAAAATATGGTGCTCATTTCATCACTTCTATCCAATCAGGATTCTGATGTCTTTTTCCAGGTTGCCCAATGCTACACCTATGTTCATTCTATTTGACCTATTTGTGACGTAAGATTATTGTTAAGTTTCAGTGGTGGGTTGCTCTTACTATCACTACCAGTATGCTGATCACGTGCTCACGCATTCTGTTCATGCACGTGTCTGACTTGTGCTGTGCACACATGCGCAATCCACTGCCCCTGCGACAACCAGCTGCTTGTT